TTTGCTAGTCCAATTCAGCGGCATCGAAAGCTTCTCATATATGGTGTGGCCGTCATTGGTTTTGGCGGTGTCTATTAGTGAGTATTCGCTCCAAAAGAGCTGCGGACTCACAAAAATTCGAAACAACCTGCTTGAATAGGTTCCAATCAGCGGACGCACGCGCTACATGGATCTCTCTCAATCCCAGGTGTGTTCTCTCCGAGAATCGCGGTATTTGAGCTGATGATGTTATTCGACCTGGGCGGGCAGAGGTGCAGGAGGAGATGCTCTCTGGCCAGGCGTACCGTGAGATCATGATGCAGTTTGGCGATCGCATCGTGCCGCCGACGCACCCGTACAGCCAGTTCGTGCAGCGTGCCGCGAGGAACATCGTCAAAGGTCAGCGATCGGCCTATCCATCTTCGCCCTCCCCACTCTTTCTCGCCCTTCGGAAACATTCAACGGTCGGTTTGACGAAGTCCCCTTTGATCACGCTATCAGCGGCGTGACGGACCTCGAGTGGGAAGTGCACGTCATCGACCACCCGCAACGCAACGCTTTCGTGCTCCCCGGCGGCAAGATGTTTGTGTTCACGGGAATCCTGCCGGTCGTGGGCGACAAAGAACAGCGTGGCGGCATGAGATCGCGCACCAGGTCGCGCGTCATTCTGCCGAGAAGATGAGCTGGGTCAAAGTGATCGTGGTCGGGCAGATCTTCCTATCGCTCTTTTTCGACCCGGGTTCATGTTCAATCGGCTGCTAGTCGACTACGGCGTCCTCGTGAGTCCTCTTCGCGCCGCATCGTTTCTCCCTACCCGAGCGATCTACTAACTCGCAACTAGATGCCCTTCTCGCGTCTCCGCGAGAGCTAGGCCGATTACATCTGGTTGAAACAAATGGCGCAAACCTGCTACGACCCGCGCGCAGCTATCGGTGGCGAACGTCAACTGGAATACCTGAGCACGTACCCGTCCCATGAAAATCGCATCATGAAGATCAGCGAGTGGATGCCTGAAGCGCTGGACACCAGGGAGAGGTCCGATTGCCAGTATCCGAAGGCGAACAACGCTTTCGATAAAAACGTCAATATTGGAGAGCATACGAATTGCTTGATTAATGATATCGTTTTGCGGGAAAATTACTTTTGGGCAGAGTGGGGTTCGAACCCACGCGACTCTCGTCAGAGGATCTTAAGGCCTCCGCCTTAAACCACTCGGCCATCTGCCCTAGTCAAGCATTAAAAATTAGATATTTATAAAACAAATTATTAATGTAATAGCCATGAAAGCACTTGCCACGACAATATATAACGTCCAGATGGATAGTCTGAAAATGTTGAGGAGTGAAGGCACGCAGGACGCCTGCTGGCGCTCTTGATAGTCTTCCATAAGGGCGCGGAGACCTTTTCGGTCTCCAGGTATGCGCCGCTCACCATCAGCATGTTCGCGAGAACTGTGTCGCCTCGGCGGGCGCTGTTATCGGGGTGCTGTAGCCAGCCATTATGATCGATCACTCTACTTTTCCAGGAGGAAATTCTTTGGCTGGAAAAAAAGACCCCGTGCAGGTGACTTGTGCGACCGACTTTTCGCCCGTGCGGGGATGACCGGTGTGTGCAAGAGGACAGACCGACTCGGTTTTCGTCCAAGCATGCATGTATCAGTGGGACAGAGTCTTTTGTGTGACCCTAGGCAGGTTGCCAAAGAGAAGAAGTGAGAGGGGGACAGAAAGAGATAAGGGAGACAGGTAGAGGGAGTGGGAACAAGGAAGGGACAGAGAGAGAGAGAGCGAGAGAGAGTGAAACTGATAGTCCGAAAGAGAGAGAGAATTAAAGAAAGGGAGAGAGAGAGAGAGAGAGTGTGTGTGTGTATGTGTGTGTGCACATTTGCAATCAAGAGTTCGGAAGCTCCACCACGCAACACCACCCGTGAGCACCTCCCGTCCAAACCCAAACCCCCACGCACCCTACCCA